CTGTTGTTGTTGGTGCTGTTGATGTTGGTTGGCAGGAATCTTCATCACCTCTGTTTTCTCTGTGCTCACCTGAAATCCTATCTTTGATGCTTCTTATTTGGCCAACTTGTTGCTTTTCACTTGAATATCTTCCAGTTTGTGGGAAATGAGACATATATCATCGGCGAAGTCCAGATCCTCCAAGTCTCTTTTTGTGTGAGTCAATTTTATGCCTGTTTCCTCATTTCCCGTTGTCTGTCTCATTATTACTCTACTGCAATCAGGAAGATCATTGGCGATAGTAGACAGTCTTGTCTCATTCCGTCCTCACTTCGAAGGATTTCGTAAGTTTCCCGTTGTGGATTACTTGGCGGATGCAGCATTGTCGTATAACTGTTGGATGAGATGTATAACTGTCGGTGGGACCCCACCCGTAGTAGCGAAGTAGTTTCCAAATCACCTCTCGATTGACGCTGTCAAAGGCCTTTTCAAAGTCGATGAAGTTGAGATAGAGAGGTGCAAGGTTTGTTCAATGATGATCAGTAGTGTGGCAATTCGATCAACATATGACTTGCTTCTCCTAAATCTAGCTTGTTCCGGTCAAAGTTTTTCATCCAGTTTGGCTTATTTGATTCTCTCCAGGATGATGCGGCTTAGTATTTTACTTGTGATGGATAGGAGCATAATTCCGCGCCAGTTCCTGCATTAACTTAAGCCTCATTTCTTTGGTAATATGCACTGTGAATTGTTGATATTAGACGATTGGAGGTAATATGTTACAGGAAGCCTTCCAAGAACTAGGTTTTGTGCTCACTGGGATCCCCCAGTCAAGTCGGTTCTTTTATAAGGGTCAGAAACTTGCACTGCATGTTAGTTAGATTTCCTAAAAAGCCAATACAGACTAACATCAACAGCTGCCAACTTCGCTGGCTGCCTCCATGATTAAGATTAAATGGCCAGAAAGAATTAATTATTATTATTATTGTTCCTTTGAGTTCCCAGAGCAACATACGGCTTCAACTGCACGTCTCACGCCACTTGCTTCTGTCTTCCTTCTGCTCTACTTTTCACCTCCATCCATCCATGTTATTCCATACTCTTTCAACTCCTCTCTCTTCACACCATCTCCTCCATGTCACACACCCTTGCACTGACGTCTCACTCGCCGCTTCCCTTTCGGCCTGGCTCCACTCGAGCACTGGCCTGTCATCCGGGCGCGATGTCACCCAGCAGCCAGCCTCCTCAGCGAGCGAGTGTCCAACCCATCCATCTCCACCTTCTCCAACTGCATATTTGTTGGTTGGTGGTTGGTTCTTGTTTTCTTGTTTGTTTGTTTGTTTGTTTGTTCCCACACTTCGTTCTTGTTGGTGATTCTTTCCGGCCCGCCCATCTGATTGATCTTCAGTATAGAGCCAGCGAAGACAGTTGTTGTTGTTGTTGTTGATAAAGGTCTGCAACAGGCTGTTGGAAATATTCTTTGTTTGATCAGTCGTTTGGCTATCCTGCTGAAAATGATAGCAGGAAACAGAACTATGTGGAGATGTATTGTTGAAGGCCTATGTTCCACTGAGAACGCAAGGAAATAATAATAATAAGAAGAATTTTGATTGGTTGCTCAAGGTCATCCGTGGGGGAGAGGCGGGTGATTTGAATTTCATCGAAATATTATGATATTTATACTATACTTTTCGTTTAAATGATATGTTAATTTAACTTTTTCTGGGTTTTTTTCTTTTTTCTTCAATTTTATCCCTTCAAAATACACAAAACAACAACCATGACAACAACAAAAAAAAAACAGGTGTACAACATGTATGAAAAGTTTTACACAAATGTCTAATTTACAATCCCATCAACGTCAACATATGAAAGGCAAACCATTTCGTTGTGAGCAATGCTTTATGTCATTTGATACAAAAGAAGAATTGGATGTTCATGTACAAGCAAAGCATTCGGGTAACCGATATGCTAAGGTGAGTAAAAAAGTGCGTGAAAAAATGATAAAATTTTACATTTTGTTTTCTTTTTTTAAATAATTATTATTATATGTGTGTGTAAAACTTTAGCACTGTGGTAGTTTATGTTATTCCATATTAGTTAGTTATCAGATGGATATATCACACACGCACACACATACAGTCAGGGGAACAGTATTATTATTATTTACTGGATGACAAAGTTTCGAACATAATTATTGCTGTTCATAATCATATCGCCAATTATAATCACACAACTTCGAAACTTCAGTTTTATAGGTTTTTTCTTCTCTCCTATCTGTCGTCATATGGGGTAGTAGAGTGTTCAAGATATCTGGAACAGGTGTTGAATCATTCCAGAAACAAAGCTTCTATTATCAATATCTTCTCCACCATGCTACTGCATTAGATTTTAAAACTGTCATCCTATCCCATCCATCCTATTGTATGGTTGAGTGTGATCGCATGTAGTGAATGGTATAGCTGAACATTCTCCAGATTTCTTATCTTATTCGAGTCAACTAGTCTAGATTTTGGTAGGTTTTCGCGCTCTCTAGCCTGACTGACTGCCCTGTTCTACTAGTTTGACCAATGTATTTGACCTGACAATCATTGCAGACAGGGTATTAGATAAACCAAATTGTTTTGTTTAAAAGGCCTCACAGAATGATCCTTTAACTGACAAAGCTTATTTCTAATTGAGTTTGTGGGTGGTTGGTTTGAATGACAGCCACTTTTATTCCTGACTGTTTTGTTAAGAATTCCGAAGTTTCTTCCTTGTATGGAATTACTACTGATGATTTAGATTCTTATTGTTGTTGTTGCCATTACTAGCATTATTATTATTATCACTATCGCTATTATCATTATTTATTTTATTTTTACATTTACTTACATATTTCTTGACTAATTTATCCGGGTAATTATTAAGTTTCAAGGCTGCTTTTATGTACATCACTTCCTGTCTTAGATTTTCCTTGGTACTACTTAGCTTTTGTGCTCTGTCACTTAAACATTTCACCAATCTATTTTCACTGACATAGGATGGAATGATCGAATTCCAAGTATCTATTTCAATGTGTGGGTTTCCTGTAAACACACACCCGTGTGTTTAACTTCCCATCTTCTTTCTTTTTTACGTTGCAATCAAACATTGACAGTTCCCCCTGCTTCCTGACTTTCTAATTCACAAGGTGGATTGAATTGCTTCTACCTTCGAGCTGATGTGTTCGAAAAATCTATTTATATCTTGTGTTCTAAGTACAGTGAATAAGTCATCCACATACCTACTTTTGCGGCGAGGTGAACGTTTCAATTGCTATGTTTTCCTACCTAACCATGATTATATCTGCCAGAACCGGGTATATTGGTGACCCCTTGGCAACTCCCTAGGTTTGTTTTTCTATTTTCCCCTGGAACTCTGCGACGCCAACGACGACGAGTAGGAGAGAACACAGAAAACTATAAAAGTCAAGTTTCGAAGTCGTGTGATTATAATTGGCGATAGATTATGAACAGCAATAATTTGTTCGAAACTTTGTCATCCAGTAAATAGTAATACTGTCCCCCTGACTGTGTGTGTGCGTGTGATATATCCGTCTAGTAAACAAACCAATATAGAATTTTGTTTTCTTTCTTGTTTTTCTTTTTTTTTGCTTTGTAAGTTTTATAAAAATTTCCATTTCTGAAATATATTGATCAGTAAACCTTATTGAAACTAACGGAGGTTATATCCGTTATCCCATCGTAATATACCACGACCTAAAATTTGCCATCAATCAAATCAATCTGGAAATTTTCGTCACTCAGCCAGAATCAACAACAAAGTTCCGTTGGATTTTCAATACAAACAACATCAAATCAGTGAGTTCTTCTATACGGAACGGATTGGAAACTTGGCGGGCGGGCGGGCGGCGGGTCACAAAGAATATTTCCAACAGCCTGTTCCAGACCTTTATCAACAACAACAACAACTGTCTTCGCTGGCTCTATACTGAAGATCAATCAGATGGGCGGGCCGGAAAGAATCACCAACAAGAACGAAGTGTGGGAACAAACAAACAAACAAAGAAAACAAGAACCAATCGCCAACCAACAAATATGCAGTTGGAGAAGGTGGAGATGGATGGGTTGGACACTCGCTCGCTGAGGAGGCTGGCCGCTGGGTGACATCGCGCCCGGGTGACAGACCAGTTCTCGAGTGGAACAGGCCGAAAGGGAAGCGGTGAGTGAGACGTCAGTGCAAGGGTGGGTGACATGGAGGAGATGGTGTGAAGAGAGAGGAGTTGAAAGAGTATGGACTAACACGGATGGATGGAGGTGAAAAGTAGAGCAGAAGGAAGACAGAAGCAAGTGGCGTGAGACGTGGAGTTGAAGCCGTATGTTGCTCTAGGAACTCAAGGGAGCAATAATAATAATGAAATTTGCCATATCTGTTGTGATTGTACTTTTGAAAGTAGATTAACCAAAGACTGGATATGTTGGAACTTTCCTTTATTCAACGTACTATGGTATCCACGAATCTCTTCTCACTATCATTGATTAAGCTTACATGATCATAAACACCCGAACTTATTAATCTTTACTGTGACAAAACTCTCCTGATGTCTTTCGGAGAATCTTGTTAACATCTACCCACTAGGCTTATCTTTAAGAATTATGTGTCGTTAAATCCATCAAGAAGATTTCTTTTTTTTATTCCTTCACGTTCCCCAGTGGAACATAGGGCTTCACTTCAAGCTAGAGGCTTGAAGTTTCTGTGGCAATGGTGATTATTTTTACAGGATGTATTCGCTAGCCAGCCAGCGTCATGCTGGCCCAACCTTTCCTCTTTACCAGCTTTTTTTTAATTACTGGCTTACCGAGGTAAAGGAGTGCTTCGTTGGCCGGGGATCGAACTCTAGACGATGTTCATGGTCAGAAAGCATCCTGACAGCTGTGCCACCGACGCACCTTCTTCCTTTAGCCATTGGTACTATGTCATCTGAATAAGTGGGCATAATTCATTACTCATCTCTGACACTGGCTAGCGGTTGAGCTAGATATTATAGAAATTGGATCCTAGTGGTTGAATAACAATGGTCTACAAGCTTAACTTGTAATCGAAAGGTCTTGAGCTTAAACCCTGGCGATGAATGATACTTCTAATATGAAACAGCTACCCACTACTTACTACCTGTTGTTCAGTAGGTTTCCAATGGTTCTTCTCTTTCCTGAAGCCAATTTGTCATCAATTCTGTAACCAACGGGATCCCTGAAATCAAAAGTGGATACATAATTGAAGTTCAAGAATCCTTATCACTGGTTGATCGATTGACTGGTTGACTGAACAGAGCAATCTACTGGGTCCTCATTGACCACTGCATGCTCATCACTGTGTTTCTGGTCATTGTCTGCAGTGGGTACATTAATGACGTCTATAATAAATTAGGGATTATTCATCTGCTTCTCGGTCTCAGGTTGACATGTCGACTTCTTGTGCAGATGCCCGGACATCATCAAAGTGACTGTACTGCATAGTGGCACGTGTCTGAAGGACAATTTTCATCGGATGGTCGGTCCTGTCTTGAAAAGTATCAAAAAGAGAGAAATTGAAGTTAAGTAAGCGATAATTTTCTCTCGAATATTGTATACTACTGATTGATTAATGAGTAGTTGAAATTTGTTCGTAAGAAATAGTAGGAAGATTATCAGTGTTGTAAACGCTAGACAACCGTTGCATTCATTTTAGGCTCAGTTAGTCAATGTGGTTCACCTCGGTCAAAACCACCTTGGATGAACTTTCACCATGGATTTGTTTAAATATGAACCAACACTTAAACTTATTTCATAAACTGTCAAAAGTTTAGAGCTGAAATTTTCAAAGTGTGGTCGTGAAACTAACTGAGAGGACACCAAATCTAAGTATAGAGCAGAGTATAGGCTGTTTAGGGTTCAATATGTGAAAGCAAAAATTAACAGAACACAGAATACTGATTTTCTGTTACTTCTGAGCCCTCATTCCGTTATCTATTTTAACAAGGAAACACATAGTACGTTCGCAAACGCCTCTCAAAATCGCTGAGGAAAACATACTTCGCCGCTAGCCTACGACTGACGTTTTCCTGCAAGAAACTGTTCAGCCAGAACGCGAAAGACAAGCTGTCGCATTGGGCCACCTCAACGTGCATATACCAGTTTACTTGCTCTTGTGGAGCTGAGTACGTTGGCCGTACCGTGCGCCGACTTGAAAAACGCGCTCGTGAACACTATCCAGCCTGGCTAGTAAAAGGAGAATGAAAACGGGTAAATAGTTCGGTGACAGAACATCTGGTTAATTCAGGACATTCAGCGACACTCGAAAAATCCTTCAAAATCATGTACAAGATTCGATCAAACCTATCAAAGGGAGTAAAATCAAGGCAACTGGGCATAGCCGAGGCGCTAGCTATACAAAAGCTCAAACCCACGCTGTGTATACAAAAGAAATACGTCCAACCCCTGTCCCTGCCATGGTCATCATAAACAGCCTAGATGATGACTTCGTTGAAAAGAAAATTTTCTTCGCTGCAATTGTCTTCTTATTTACAGTTTGATTGGTTGGAGGATTTAATCATGAACTGACATCGGTAAGGGAACCGTTGCAAAACCTGCCTTATAGAGTACTGGACAGCTGTTTCTCCCGTTCTAGTTTGAGAATCTTCAGCAGTACGCATCCACCTCACCTGGGTTTCAAAACGTAGGGCCTTCTGGTTACAAGGCCAGAGAGCTTGTAGGCTATTAAGCCACTGGCACCTGAACTGATCCAATGGCTAGCGCATGAATTCTAATCTCTAGCAATTCATGACAGAGGGTGACCAATTAGCAATTTCTTCTTCTATAGTTTGGTTTGTAAGGGTCAATTTTGTTTTAACGAGTTGATCATGGATTGATATCACTCAGGGAGCCATTGAAAACCAGCCACAGGGAGTACTGGACAGATGTTTCCTTCGTCCTGGTCTGAGAATCATCGGCAGTAC